GAAAACGTGACTTAAAGTTTCGCCTGGAGTCGGTTCGGTGCCTAATTTCGGGACTGGGGGTAACTTCGTATCCATAAAGCTGACGTATACCTTGGATTGACCAGGTAGAATGAAACAGTCCGCGGTTGCTTCGCTGAACAGCTGCTCCAGCACCTGAACTTTGATGTGTACTTGCTCAAAAGTAGAGGGGGATATCTGATTTACTAAAGTACCAGATGTCCCCCGTTGGCAAGCGAAGAATGCGTCAAGCACTAGTTCCTTCCGAGTTTTGCGGTAGCAAAGGCAGCTTTGGGCTCCATATGCTGCTGCCAGCAAGATAAGACTTTTAGCGAGCGACGTACTGCTGTTGTGGGCTCTTGAAGAAGACCTTCAAATGACTAGCTACGAGGTGAATGTCTCGACCGTCCTGACTGAGCTCCTCAACTTTCGCGAGCTGAACCGTCCAGGTGACCAATTAAGGCGCTTTGTTCGGGGTGAGGGTCTTGGGGCGCATAAGGATAACATCCGCAAACCTACACAACCACACTGGAGCTGGTTCCCCTCCTCGGTGGTTTCCGAAAAAAGGAGATATCTTGAGAGAATCTGATCCGGGTCCCAACATTGCAACAGTAGGAGAGTTGAACCTATTGTCTACCGCCAAGAAGGAGTTATTCAGCAAGAGTGTAGTTGAGATTTTGCATCTCTATAGATCTGAGCAATGGCCACCGACTCAACATCACGAAGCGCCTTGGCATCTCCATGAGAAATGGAGCTGTCGTCCACTTGTAATAGGTAATCATTGAGGTGAGGTGAGCTAATCTGAATGGATATGGGTTAAGGAGCAGGAGCTCCAATACTTATCGGCTCCTGAACTTTCTTGTAGAAGGGTGGCTGCTCCGACCAGTGCGGAGGCGAATGCAGGAGGCGAAGATGAACCAAAAGACGTAGCACCACTACGAGTAGTAGGTATTCAGACGAACGGACGAACTTTTTAGGTGACTATTATGTTGGAGCGGAGCTTTTACAAGCGCCGAGTGATTGAGGCTCCTGGGGTCAAGGTGGGTGGTCAGCGATGGAATGTACCATTGAGTTACATCCAAAAAACTTTTGCGGAAGAAACGAGTCAATCAACAGCGTCATGTTAAATGTTTCTAGAGTATAGGAAGCAGAAGTGCGTCACCGGGAACGGGAATTCAGCGACTGTAAGGCGCGCCAATATGAACATGAGAACAATGTCACAATTCTAGTAGAGCGCAATGTTGCTTGAAAAGGTACCGAAAACCGAATAGGATGTCATAAAGGAATGCTTATCATATGAACATCTGCTTGCGCCGTCAGACTTCTTAGAACTGTGATAAATTTTTACGTCAGGAGGGGCTACAAATAAGTGAACACTACGCGCACATCCATGGCTCATCACTACTGGCTGCCCAGATGGTCACTCACGAGGAGGCTAGGCGCTCTCTAAGCGAGCATACTCATGTCGAAGACCATAGGCCGGCTTGCTTCGGTTGCTCAAGCTGTAGTTATGTTGATTGCTTATGTACCTTACTAGCCAAAGGGTGGCTCACAGAAAAAGAAATTCAAAGCCTCTTCTGAAACAAAACCTACAAAGAAAGGTCAACAAGAAAAAAAAACGGTGCAAATGCAAGGCATGAGTCGAAAACGCAAGGGCCTTTCGAATGTTTGAGCACAAAAAGAAGCGTGACCCATGCTCTAGGAAAAACAGCCAGAAGCTGTCATATAATCCAAACCCGTGATTTCACAAAGAAAGTACAAATTGGTGTTAGTGCCATGGGAACGAACCAAGGCGAGAATGTCGGATGTCCGCAAAAAGAATCACTGCCATGACTGAAAGGTTCAAAGGAAAATCCCAAATCCAAATCTTGGCGACTGTATCAGAACTATTCGAGGAAAGAAAACGAGGAGGTTGCAACACCAAATGAAATAAAAAACGGCGGCCATTGATAAAAGCAAAATCGTCGCCGCGACCTCTGCCCAATAGAAAAAGCCAGATTGCCCAAGGCAAGCGAGGTTCGTTGTCTTGTGCAGACCCAGCACAGCCGGGAACTTGATAAACTGACAAGCCGTCCACGTTGTTTCACTCGCTGCTACCAGTCATATTTGGGGTTTATAGTCCCGCACGCCAGTCGGCTGCTTCTGAATAGACAAGAATTGAAAATAGTTTATTAGCATACGAACGAGATCAGTATGCTGGAGATGTGACGGGCCCATGAGCTGACACACGTGGAGGAAATCATTAGTATGTAGGCGAGGCGGCCAGTGACGAGTGGGGTACTCTTTTGGGACGAGGGTGGTACCCGGTTAGCAAGAAGAGCCTCGTTCGACTGTCGCAGACCTCAAATACTACCTGTAGAATGAGTCATCGATATCGCGTCATACCATTCCTCTGAGCCTACAAGTGAAGCTACTATAGAACAAAGTGTTTGGGGTAGTATACTACTATTTATCTATGATACCTATGACCTACAGGAACCTTACAGTCCTACTCTCCACTATCTTCTGCTACCGCACCTATCCATCGTTCACCTTCTTTCCACCTTCTCTTCACTTGTACCGAGAAACGTTTGAAAATGCTCTGAATAGTAGCAATGTTGGTTTAGAATATTGTATTAGCATATAGTGCAGAGAGACTGACAATGAGTGTGGTACAGGGCACAGCATTCGATGGGGATTTTGGTGAAGCCCGTACGACCCCCCCCCTTTTTGGGGGTTCGGTACGACCCCCCCTATACCTAAACTTATGAAGTTTCTTCCCCCCCCCCCGAGGAGGAAGAAACTTCATAAGTTTATGTATAAGTAAGCGCGAAAAATGGAAAAAGTAACAATCCTGAATGAGGCCCCTCGCTTTTTGCTCATTTCTATCTAATTCAGAAAAGAGAATAGAAAAGAAAGGCTATTAGGTTTCACCCACCTTCCCTCGAGTCAAAACAAACTCTGGTACCTGAATCAATTGCAATTTTAAAAAAAAAGGAAATCAAGCCAATAGCGGTCCAAGCAAAATTGCTGGGGCGCGCTCTGACGTGTATTCGAGTAAACTAGAAGAAGATAAATATTCGATATTCGAGTAAACCGAGAAGAAGATAAATATTCGAATAAACCGAGAAGAAGATAAATACGAAAGAGTAAATACGAACTGACGAGCAAAGTCAGCCAGTGCAGCAGCATTCGGTGGGATTTGTGGTCGAGCCTGTTACGACCCCCCCCTTTTTGGGGGTTCGGTACGACCCCCCCCTTTTTACTGTTTGACGTTACATACTTCCTGAAATTAGATATAAACAATTAGATATAAAAAATAGATATAAACAGTCCTACCTAAGTTGAGTTGATGTGCAAGCGTTTGTAATGAGTAGGCATAAAAACACGCATAGAATGCGAGTTAAATAGACATATGACTAAAACGAAAAATAAAAGCAAAAAAAAAACAAAAAAGAAATGCGCTAAAAATGCATTAACCCGAGATGTGGAGTACGGTAGCAGAAATGCGTATGTAATTGCAGCCGTGACTGGAGATTATTCGTCAATTTTAGCACTGGAGCCGCGAACTTTCAGCAAAGTGGGGTGTCTTTGAAGGACCATAACTTCCTCAAAAGCGGACCTGTGGGAAGAGGAGACCGTATTCGTGTAGAGGAAGGTTTGCACTTCCTAAAAGTACTGAAACGTTTATGAAGGTCGCAAAAATCACAGAGAAATCTGCCATAAGGATTCGTTGGGGAGTGATTTCAACTGAACAGGTTTGAATCAATATATTTTTTTTGTAACTCAACATTTCACAAATCTGAGAACGGTTTCGAGTGTTTAAAGATTTTCTCTTTCTAAAAACCTCTTGAGCTGTTTCTGAAGTTCTCGGGATTCATGAGATCGCTATGGGGATTTCTTGGGGAACACTCCCAGCTGCGCGAAAAACCCGTTTCCTGTGTACCGTTTCAAGTGAGCGTGTTCGAATAACCAGGAACGCATGAAAAACGTATCCTGTGGTGGAGCAGGAGCAGAATATGGTTCGTTTAGCGCCGACACGCTGACTTTGGATGCGCCGCGCACTGAGACCGCGCAGAAGGTGATGGGATGGTGCAACTTGTGCGTAATGTCTGTTCACGCGAGCAAATGTGTCTATAAGGTTCAGGGAGGTCCATGGCGAGCCTGTGCACTTGTTTACAGTGTTTTCCGTTGCGTATGATGGAACATGTCCCTGTCAACGCTGCCAGATTCGTGCTCCGCCAATTGCTGACTCCGATAAAGGAGACCAACTGCTGGAAAACGTCTATACGAACGATATGGTAGTCCTGTCGCTTGTCGAGAAAAAACAGGTTGGCTCAGCGCCAAGCGCGACCGCGGACACGCCATATCATTGGCAGCGAACCAGAGTTTGAGTTGTACTGTTTAGTCACTTACGAGATGATGTCGACTTTTTATATTTCCAGTTATTTCAGATTAGTTTGATGAATGAAAGTTTTGTACTATTTTTTTACATATCCGAGTTCTCTACAAAGCAAGCTTCGCTGTACAGTACTCAGCACACTGACGCTCGTTACTGGCTACCGCACTCACGACCCCCCTCTCCTGGCGGCCAAATACGACCCCCCCCTGTTGGGGATTCCCCAACCAACGATGTGCCCTGCGTTGGGTTCCGTTTGTACACTTTAGGCGCCATTATAAAGCAAGCCGTGCATTCACACCGTATACACCAAACTTTTCGAACTGTTTTAGCAACCGCCCTATTCAGGGTTGTTTACATAAAATTTGTTCGGCTACTGTTGAAATATATGTGTACTTTAGTTTATGAAGGTGTGGGGGAGATCACCAAAGGAGGGGTTTTCGTTCTTCGTTGTTTCATAGTGACCCTGAGAAATCATTACAGATTAAACTCTCGGGAATCATAAGATCACCGCATCATCGTTTTGTTTTCCACATACTTCTCTTTTTCAGGTATACTACAGCAACTAGCAAATCGGCTTGGGTGGTAGTGGTTTGCTGAGCATTACGAACATTAGCTGTGTGGAATGCTGCGGCGTTTGAAAGCACAAGTCAGCCAAGTGGCTAACGACGTAGGTTTTACGATAGTTTTCGATCTCCAACAATACCTTCATTCGTCAATTTTATTTTAGTTGCCTGGAGTGCTTTCACCTGGAGCTGGCCGAGATTCACGCGATGGAGCTCCTTTTTTCCCAAATTCTGATACCAGTAGTCATAACGATGTGGATGACGAGATTGAAGGATTCCTTTGCCCTATATGTATGAGCACGTTCAACTCTCCTGAGCTGTTATCGGGACATTTCGAAGAGGCGCATAGTAAGGTAGGTTCGCTCGGTTACGCGAGTCATTTTCTGTCTGATGAGTCATTACTTGGGGACGGCACTGTCCCCATGAAGGGAGAGGGACATTTTTCTCTGATTTTTGTCACGTATAGTATATTTCGCTGCGGCGCGACGTGTCAGGCTGGATGAGCTTGGTACGGTGTCAAACCCGTTCCCCACCAGCTGCTGAAGCGAGCAAGTGACAAGACTGTAGTTTTCGGGAAACGAGTGAACGAAGGACATGTCGTTTGTTCACTCGTTTCCCAACAACTGTTGTCGTGTAACTGCTTTAACAAGTGGCAGAGAACAGGTTTTTCACCGTGACACACTCATACTGCCTGACACACCCCACCGTCCGCACTGGACTACAGTTTACCTAAAAATGATGCAACGACATGTACAACTGAAACCAGTTTCGAGCTATCACATAGAACGACGTTTCTCAACAGGCAATAGACAGCTAAGCTTTAGTGCTGAAAAAGTAACTGTGGAAAGAGTCATACACTTAGCCCCCACTTGTATACCAGTAGCGTCTGAGTGCAAGCTCGAAGGAGGCTCCTTGAGCTGTCGGCAGCTCTCGTCATGAAGCTGGTCACTTTGCAAGGAAAGGCCAGATTGATGGGTGGTTTGCTCAGTCCCACAGTTTTGATACGGCCATTCCTGCCACCGTGATCATTTCTTGCAGTGACTGCACAGCGCACAGAAGTTCAAATGCTTCAATAAGACTCTTCAATAGATTATTTGGCTTTATCCCCGATACTGCGGCCTCTCACGAATTAAACTTACTTCGTTATGCGAACGCTTTTTCTTCTTCTTTTGTAGCCCTTCTTGGAATTTTTAGTTGATCGAGGACTCCTCTGGCGTAACAAGAAATGTCCCTTTGGCAGTAATTCAAACGCTCTGTGCTACGTGCCAAATGAAACTGGTCTAATTCGCAGCGTATTATACCGAATCGTTGAACATTAATTCACAAGTCTGCCCTTCTAAGGGAGTAGCGACTTCATATTCTCAACCAGTCGGATCCCCCTTTTATGTGAAATAACGCCCGGCTTGCCTGAATAGTACCGTTACACTCTTCGTATATATCCCCGGACAGTTATGAAATTTCTATAAAGGAATTGAGTGGGAAGTCGGGTATTGGATGCTTACTGGATGAACTGAAGTGGAAGGATGCATGTTTTTGAGTTGTTGCAGGATAAAGGAGAGGTAAATAAATAACTAAACACTTGAGTTAAAAGTTTTGATTTTGACCCCATACACCCATTCACATGCCCTGTTCACTGACTCTCATGTGTCCTGAGAGCAAATTATGAACTTTTGCAGCGGCACCATCGATCCGATGCTCATCTCGTTCACTGAGGGTGCCTCTGTTCCATCTAGGTTCCCGCTGCCGTCATATTACCCATGCTGTGACTGCTCAGGATGCGTTTTGAAAGTTTTTATCCTCGGCAGCGTCCACTTCCGCGCACGCCCTGCCCATTGTGGGCGGAGCTCAGATTACCTTTTGTGCGCTCTGTAAATGTTGGCCCACGCCACTCCATCCCAAGTTTGATCCGTTCAAGTGATTTATGACAGAGTCTCCAATTTTCGAGCGGTCTCACAGATTAACACACAGACACACATACAATTTCTGATTTATATATAGCGAGATACAAAGCAGGATTATTGCAGAAATACGAAGCCCTGTGATATATTGTTGTCATGGTGCTTTTTATTCGACAAGTATTTCAGGAAAACTCCTTGATAGTGAATCCTAACTTTGAAAACTCACTACAACCTCCTTCTCCAGGTACGCTTCTTTCTCTTTCTAGAAATTTCCGAAACCAGTTACTGTCTAAAGGTGTTGATAAGTGTGTCGTTTTCAAATTCGATTCTTCTACCTCATTCTGAAGAAAGGAATCTTTTAGGAACCAATTCGACCGTGTCATCGTTTCCCTTCAAAAGACAAAGAAATAGAAGAGTTACGTTTTCAAGTGAAGGAAGAACAACTATATGCTGAAAAGCTGAAGGTACCTCTCCGATTTGAATTGTTTTTTTTTTCATACGTCATCATTTTGAGAACATTGCATTAAGGAGGAACTAGATCGTATCCAGTCGGTTGTCGCTCAAGCAACTGATGTTCCTCAAGGAGAAGTGCCGTATCTGATGCAGCAAATTCAAGTGCTTGAAGCTGGGAAGAGCATGGGTGAGTTTGGCCGCGAGCTTCTTCCATTTTTCGCTAAATTTTCAGTGGCTCAAATGAGCGAAGTAAAATTCACCCCTTACCCATTAATATGAGTTCTTGCTCCTTTGATTTTACGTTTCTCCCTTCCTTCGCATCAGCTGAGCTTCTCTCTCGCGCAGCTTTTATTCGAGTGCTATTGATGGCTTCTGTACGATTTAAATTGAATCATATTATGCAGCTCTAGTTCCTTAGCCTACTCATGCCAATTCAGCAGTTCAGGGCTCTATTTATTAGGTAGAGCACTTGTTGCGATTCCCTTTCTGTGCAGCGGATCTGATTCACCCGCTCCAGAACTCCTTCCATATGTCCTGCTGGAACAGCTCTTGCGCTAGAGATACCTTCACATCAACTTGAAATGGTGAAAGCCAAGCCGAATTTGTCAAGTCATATAGGATGACATTAAAATAGAAGATAAAGTGTTCGCCAACTTGATCAATCCATTTTTGGGATGCGGCACGCTTTCTAATTCTATTCGGAATCGTAATGGCTTATTGAATGCGACATGGACACCGCCCAGCCGATGCATTATTGTTATTTTCCTCCTGTGATAGCAAGTTTCACCCATTCTCAGTCAGATGTAGAGTAATCCTGCCAGGTAAGTGCCAGGTAATCCTTGCACACGGGTTTTATCACGAACTTCTTCCGTCAAAGCTGCCAACCCTTTGTGGTTGGTAAACTGATGCCAGATTCGTCTGAGAGGATAAGATGCGAGCTGCATCATACATCGTAGTCTCCTTGAGTTGTTATACTAGCCTTCCAGTATTCAAAAGGTCACGACGATCTGAGCAGAAATAGAATGCGCGTCAATTCGTAAGAAAAAATCGACCAGCAGCGACCAGTTTCTTGCGTTGTTTATCTTCTCATGTGCTGCTTGTTGTACAGGTGCTGAATCTCCATGGCATATGTCTATGTACAGTGTGTACTGTTTTTCGATTTATTTATTGGCTCATCAGTTTAAATTCCCTCATCCAAGTGTGAAAACTCTGCAAATTTTTCTATAATGTGACGTTTAGTAACTCAACGTATGCTCGAATTCGAGAAGGAGAATGGGCAATTGAAAAGATTCGCGGAAAACGGTCAGCAGGAGAGAGCCGAAATCATGGCCAAGTTGAAACAGCTGAGTGGACAAATTCGAACGTTGACTGATGAAAATGAGGGCAATAAGGTGATTTATCTACATGAATATAAATAGGTTTATCATGATGTATTGATTAATGACTGCTCTGTCTGAACACCGGAATAAGCCTGCTGGTAGTTAGTAACTGAGTTTTTTTCCGTCGTAGTGTATCACCTTCCCAGATTTGTGGTTTCTGCGCTTTCCACTTTTCTGCAACCTGTATAGGGAATCACTAAAAACCATGATTTCTTCTAGTGTAGTGGTCCTAACCTTCGTTGACATTTCTTAAAAGCCCCTTCTGAACAGCTTCTTATTTCCGGTCGATATGGTGGGCAAACTTTACGAGTATTACTAAAATATTTTTACCAAACTGGAATATGAAAACCTTACCACCTCGGGGTAACATATGTTGGTCAGGGGTTTATAATTGGAAGGAAACCCATTATCTAGGTCCGACGAGGAATTCAGAACGTGAAGGAAAGTGTGCATTGATTCCAATGCTACTGTTCTAAATTTGTTCCTTTCGAAATGTATAGATCTTGCATGGATATCAAAGAATGGGCTGGGACAGGCAAAAAAAAATCCAAACAGTGGTCGCCGCAGAAGCTTCGCAGCGTTTGCTGTGGTTAATAATAATCTGAATCTCCTACTTGTTTCAGGTTGAAAAGGAGGTTTTGAAGAAAGAGATGGCTGCTTATAGATCTGATAAGGAGAAGATGGAGAAAGAAATGGAAGTTCTGAATAAGGCGCTGGACCAAAGGTGTGATTTAGTGAATTGTTTCGTAAAATCCTTACGTTACATGGCGGCTTCCCAGACCAAGTGAGAGATGATGTGCTTGGGTGTGTTGCGAACTGAATTGGTTCATGCCCAGAAACTGATGGATGAGATATCTCAGCAAAAAGACGTTGAGATCAGCGAGCACCTTAATTCTATTCGAATGTTGAACATGGAGAGGGAAAAGTGAGCTGGTTCAGCTAGTTTGTACTCATAATCGCCTATATGTCGATTGTTCGAATTTTAGGCAAAGATGTGTGATGGAAAATCTGCAAAAACAGCTGGCAGATACGGGTTCCCATTCGAAAGAGTATGTATGAAAGCCGGAAGTTACCGCCTGTTACCTGGTTAAAGTGAACCTCGTTTTCTCAGATCTTCCGAATTGGTTCGTTCACTTACTTCTGAGCTGGAGGATACTCGACAACTTCTCATCACATGTCAAAAAGACCTGGACGATGCTAAGAGTGATGCATGTCAGAAAGGCAAACGAGTCGAAGAACTCCATGGAAAGTGAGTCTAGTGGAGCCCGCTTTCATTTTCTCGTATGGAACAGTTGTGTTTTTTGCAATTTTATCTTCAAGAGTGGAAGCAAACCTTGCCGAACTTGCTTCATGTCGTGAGAAAATAGCTCAGCTAGAGGAAACTGTACGGGTTAGCGCTCGTGAAATTGACGATTCTCATGCAATGAATGAGAGCAACCTCAAGAAGTTGACGCAGTTGAGCGACAAGTTGGAGCAGGTAAAATTTTTCGTGT